AACAAACTGAGCTCGACCAGAGCACCAGGTTTCCGGACAAATTTTCCCGAACTCGTGAAATGCGCTCTTCAATTCTAAGTTGGGAGCACACGCTTTGAGCTGAGCAAAGTGTGATTAAATCCATTTGAGTCTGGAGACAAAATGTCTTTTTTTTATTGCCCCCCCCCTGTAGTGTGGTCGGAGGGAGGGTGAGGTGTGTGGTTTTTAAAGGTCCGTTTATTGTGAAAAAAATTGGAAAAGTAGGAGAATGTTGTCGAACTGCTGTCTTAGGGGATATTGTTTGTCCTCATTCCCCGCCCCATCTCCACAAACCTTGGAATTCTAATGAGCGAGTTCTATGTGTGTTAGGTTGAAGTCAAATTGAATGACGTCACTGATAACCATCGGAGGGTGTCGTAAAGGATCCTGAAGGATCGTTAGGAAATGTGGGAGAGGGTCATGTCGGCGGGAGTTTTCTTGACATGTAGCTCTTCTAAGGTTGAAGCGGAACTGAGAGACAGATAGGATGTTTGGGCGGGGAGAAGGCGGAAGAAATCGTACAAAATCACTTTAGGCGATACCGAGCATGACCCTGATCAAAAAGATTCTCGACGAAGGGATTTTTCTTAGAAAGATCGGTTCTACTTTCCAAACGTTTCTGATTTACAGAACCTTCACAAAAATGTGTCGCTCGAACATTTTGTAGCTGGCTTCAGAAATCTCTCTCAAGGAGAACACTGCGAATACGCTAGAGGTGAGACGCTTTTTAGCTTGAACATCACGGATAACTGCTCTCACCATTTTGCTCCGACTCATCAGCTCACATATGTGCTCTAGAATGGCCATCGATTTTACGCGCGTGCTTGTTGGGTGCTCTTAATCATGCCTAATTGGCAGAAGAAATGACTACAGGAGGGTAAAAAAATATGGCAAAGAAATATGGAAAATCTAAAAATACTGGTTCCGGCTAGGGTAACTACCGCGCGGCGACAGTGGCGTCGCGCACTCGGCTAATGCTGTGGGAAAGTACGGTATCCAGCCGACCGAACATTTATTTCGTTGTCCCAGATTTTTTCCGTAACATTTTGTATACTCATTAAAACTGTGAGCTGTCCTTATACCCTTTGCTTTGCAATTATTAAATAGAGTGAGGTTATTCAAGGATTTTCTTAAAATATTTTCGCCAAGCAAATAAACAAATTAACCATGTTTGGTCATAGAGCGGGTGCTGAGTTAGGAGCAGAAATCAATAAGCCCCAGGCAGGAATCGAACCCGCACTCTTGCCTCCTATCCCTCCTACCACTTCACGAGAAAATGCTATGCTAGTTGAAGTCATCCAGCCAGTAAATAGGCAGCTTCTCGTCAATCTTTTTCAAAGGAATCCACTAAAATTCGTGGCTTTCCAAACTGCCCCGGTAAGGGGTATTGACACTGAAGTTATTTCAAAATTTCTTTTTTTTTAAGGTGTGGAATGGAGCAGAAATTATATGTGGGCCGGATTTCGTACAAGTAGGAATTTCAACCACAAAGAAATTGAAGGTAACGGATGGCTTCGTGATCTTAGAATATGCAAAACAAATCCACTCACTTTCAGGGACGACTCTTTCTTCGAAGGCTTCCACCAGGAACCTGGGTGCTCCTCTGTAGAAGACAACTCTAACAAAAACCAAGACGGCTCACGATTCGATGTTCGCACCATCGCACCGCATGGAAAGTGTGGCCTGATAAAAACTTATGAGGTACTGTACGCTCCCAATTGGGACAAGTGACATAGATAGCGCAAAGTTGTTTAGAAAGCGTCCCTAAGAAAAATAAATAGCTGAAAGCCCAAATAAGGAATGGAGTTTGGAATCATTAGAAGGACAAAATGATGAAACATTCGGCGTAATCAATCTCGTTTTGGAATGCGCCGTATATTCTACTCCCGCTCAAATCGTAGTGGCAAAAAAAACACGACTGACTTGCGCGGGCCAGCCGATGTACAAGTCAGTGTTTTTATCCTCCCAGACAAGTCTGGTACCAATTAACCGACCCCGGAGGGATGGAAGGCTTGGTTGGCCCGGGCGACTCACGACCCAGGATTTGATCCCCGGACCGCTCGCGTGGTGAGCGCACCACTCACTTTATAGACTCCATCCATCATTCTATGTAGTCATATTCCCCACGAGTGAGTCATGAGGCATCCCTCTTTTAGCGGTTAACCATCCCTGGAGGTAAGCAGGGAAATATGCAAGATTTGGGGCGGTTGGGCAACTGAGCTATCTTAGCACATTAAGGCAGATGTCCTTCTATAATTCAGGCAAAATCTCGCGGATTTGTGGTGTCGTCCCGAGCGGTACTACAGTTCGATCGGCGATTCGCAACCGCTAACGATCATTCGTTCGAGATCCGATGCTTCTATCCGGACAAGACGAAGACGGCAAAAAATCCCAAAAGAGCACAAGGAGTTACCACGTTGGTCACCGAGGCCGTTTTGAGCGGGTAGGGACGTGTAGGTACCTTTGGAGCACAGCATGCCACCTATTTCCTTCATACTTCCTTACCTTTTATGCTGCACGTTCAGAAGCAAGGAACCCTCTTTGGAGTTGACACAAGCGATGAAATGTCGCTACGTTGTCACGCCTCATCCCGATCAGTGCTCTTCAAGCGCTATCACCGTTGGAACACCACTAGTGCATACATGGAGCTGTGATCAAGGTAAGTCTACAGGGTCTGATCTCCTCCAGTAGGAGTTCGGGACACTTCTGACCCATGGTAAGCGATGGGTAACAGGATACTGTTCTTTCAGATCATCCACGTTTTCTGGTACATTCCTGCTTCATCGCCGATCCTGTCTCACACCGTATAGAAATGCTCATTGATCACCACGGGTGAGTTACCCAATTATGTCAAAAAAAGAAGAGAAAGATGCCTTATCGTCAACGATACCTGGAAAGCAGCGTCCCATATATGCATAGAAGGCTAAATAAGCTCGGCCGTTTTGCGAACGGTGTCTGAAAGGTATCCATCTCAAGATGAAGGCACGACCCACGACGCTCCCTTCAGAGAATGGCGGAGCGCTGGAGGAATCGAAGTCATCGATGGGAAAGGTAGTCAATGAAGAACTACATAGCCGTTCCTACCATACGCAGGAGTGCCAGCTCATTTTCGATATCAACAAGCAGCAGAGGGTCAAAGATTGCAGAAGGTTGCTTACCCGCCTCAGTGAGGACACGCACCCTACCACCCTTTCTTATGAGGAAAAATTTCCATAGCAGAGCGGATTGGCAATAGCCAGAAAGATTGCATTCCGGGCAGAAATGTCAGGAGTGCTACTCCACGCTAAAAGATTGTTTGCAAATCACCGAACTTGGTCTCAATTTCGGTTTAAAGGAACACCACGTCCAGTGGTAAGGGGCCGTTAGTTTTCCTTTGATTTCGGTAAGTTCATCAGCAAATCCGGACACTTGAGGTGAACGTAATGAAGGCTCGGCACGAGTCCTACCGTGGAAATAACCCGAGGTGTTTCCAGCAGAAAAGTGCTCAGGCTACATGGCCAACTTCCTCCAAGTGTGGTGGCCGAAGTTCAGTTGCCTGTTCCTGGGAAACCGAAGGAACGCGGCCATCATCTTTCACCAAGGTCCGGCGCCCCTCTCCCTCCCCCTGTCGTATTCAATCCTTCCCCCAGGGGGATATATCCCCCTCCTCTGATTCAACTCTCAAAAATCTGGGGGACAAAAAAGGGTTGCGTCATAGGACCTAGCATACCTCTGTGTTTCTACCTGCCAGACAGAGCAGCGCTACTACCCTACCCTCCACTGATGAAGCACTCTTTCCCCTGAGGGGTCGCGCTGCTCTAACTGTCTGGCAGGTAGAAACACAGAGGTATGCGAGGTCCTATGACGCAACCCTTTTTTGTCCCCCCAGAGGATTGAATCAGAGTAGGGGGATATATCCCCCTGGGGGAAGGATTAAATACACGGCCTCTGGTAGGAGTTGATTGAGGTCAGTTCTTCGTCCCAGTTCGTCACTGGAAGGAACATTGAAGGAAGCCTGAGAAGAAATAGACGAGGAATTCCTGCGTGCAACGTGCGCGAAGCCCAAGAAGCGACTTCGAGCTTGCATTAGTCGCGTTGGAGAGTATTTCGATATCTAGTTGTTCCACATTGTTGGGATGATGCAATTTAACCTTATGTGTAAATTCAGTCAGCATCGTCGCTTCCTAGAACTGAAATATACTGGCTGTGGTATGCGCCAATACATTTTGGGATCCTGTATTGTTTCAACCTTTTCAGCCATTGCGCCTGCCGTACCGTTGTTTTCCAAGTAGGCTTTTTTTTTCATTCTGAGGATGTGATCAAGCGAGTTGAGTCTGTACGTCGGCGACCTATATCCACAACATCGCAGCTGATCAATCATCTCGTTGCACAGAGTGGTTTTGTGAAGGTGAATTCTTATTTTGATGAATTATCTCAGGGCGGCAAGCGGCAGCACGGTTGAAACTCTAAATGGCGATTTCAGTGTGAAGAGAAGTGGGGCATCCCAGTGAACAAGACAGCGTTGGCCAAATCTTCTGAATCGACTGATGGCCCGCGGTCACATGACTGACAAGAGCGCTTTGATTCAAAATTATTTGTGAGTTAATCGTGATGTATTAAAGAAGTTCTTATAGGTGTTACATCACTTTCTTTTCAGTGGCAGTGCAGTTTAATCGTCGGCAGTTCGTTTGAAGCCAGTTCTTCTAACTCGTCATAGTGCAGCTTTATTGTGATAGAGTATCGCTTTGAAATTATCATCTTTAATAT